TACTATCAATTTGGTATAACTTATCGCATAGTGGTATCAGATAAGTAAGAAAACAAGTATTAATATGACCTAATATTAAAAATGCACATATGTAAATGTTACATAATTTACTAGCGAGATTAATTGATAACTTTGCAACACCAAGAATTATCACTGAGATTGAATATTTACACAAACATTATAAAAAGGTAACATTTGTATTTTTGTCTGTATAAAAATAACTCAAAAAGTACTAGGCCGATTTTAAAAATTCTTGCACCAAAAAGCTACATAACCACTTAGTAACATAAGCTGCTTTTTAAACTTTATTAAATTCCACGCTGACGAAGTTGCGAGCAACAGCTTGTTAAAAATACTATTACTATAAACTAAACTGTAAAAGAAATTCAATTTCTAAAATAAACTTGTCACTCCAATAAGGTTGAGAACGAAATCGATTTTCCTCTCCATTACGTGTGAGTATCGTGTAAGCGCACCTTTTCTGTGACAAGCTGCCGTATCTATAGTGACTGCTATTGTAAACACAACAAGTGGAACGGTTCGTTCACCGATCAATAGACACGCATACATTGATCAATAACTACCGAGTAACATCACTACAATGGCATTTTTATAGATGTTACCGACAGATTGTGTATGTCGTCCGTCTCAAAAGATATCTGTAGCATGTCTTTGTGTATTTATTCAGTAATGTGCCTAGGCAAATTACAAATAGGCAGCATTCACAATCAATTAGTGGCTTAGGTATGAATAGTTGGCAGATACAGGATGTATATAACTTAAATTATATTTTAATATAATAGAATTGAACAATATTTGAGGAGTGAACACAATTGGGTCAATCAATAAGACACGAGGCACGACGTGGCGTGTTCAATGCTCACACGCGTTGCCAAATGCACATCATTTTCATAATATAATTGATATGACTAACAAGCTTCAATGTTATTTCCTCTAACAATATAGCTAAACACATTCTGTTTCTGTCAGCGCAAAAATACAAAGAAAATAAAACAACTTTAATTTAAAACGTTCTAAAAATGTGTGTCTCTATTTTTCAGACATATGTGTGAAAAATAGAGGTTTATAACTAACTTCAATTAAGACATAAGTTAAGCAACGCCTGTTACTACATATTAAAAACCTGTCTAAGCAAACCCTTTGTTTCATTAATGATTTATCAAAAGTACAATAAACTAAAACCAAAAAAATCTATTTTAACTATATTCGCTCCGTAACATTTTTTTTTAAAATGGCCAGCATCACACGGTAGAACATAGTACGAAAAAATGTTACGGGCAAACCAAACAAAGTTTTACTACTGCATATTTGTTGGCTCCATCAGCGTTAGGGTTGGCAACGAGATACGACCCGCCCTGGAATTACTTCGATGTAACCTCGATAGTACGCCCTGCTTTCTTTGAAAAGAATATACCTAGCTCGTTACAAAGACACGGCAGATAAAAATACAGAATAAAATATGACATTTTCAATCACTGAAAGTTATTACAAAGTACCTAAATAATCTACAGTAATTACAGACAAATCATATATTTTAGTGTTTCCATGTTTATTTGCTTATTTAATAAATTAGTGTTTTTATTTCATTGTCGCGAAATTTTTAAAATATTTGTCAGCAAGATAAAAAGCTATTTTAAAATAGTAATACGTAAAATATTGAATTATAATCTATTTATTCTAATATAACTTTTCTATTCAAATTGAAGTCGAATAATAAAGACATATAACAATATTTAACGACCGCCTAGATAGGAACATGACGACAGCTGTTACGTTAATGAAAAAGCCTGAATGAAGGTGAACTCGGACGAATTAATTTACCTCATATGATAGTTCATTGCATAATAGAAAAACATATGTAATTAAAAAAGAAAAAACCTGAAATCTATTGATACAATATTCCATTATTTTCAGTATAAAAAAAATAATTAAATACATACAAACTAGATCGAAAGATAAAACAAAGTCTACATTTCACGGTAGAGTAAAGACGTTTGTAATACAAGTGAATTGATCATAGGCTCGTTTCGCCTTGTAATAGATTTGCTACAGAGCATACACTGATCAGCAACAATACTGAAAATAAACAATAGCCGCTAAGAACTGCGCTTTAAATGTTAATTGAATTATAGCCTCGAATTAGACTGTTTTCGCAACATATTCACGTACCGAAACGATCCATTTTCATAATACTTTTGTAATAAAAGAGAACTAAAGATAATACTATAACTTCAGTGAAATAAGATTTTTCTGCTATATTCACACATTAATTTGTGTTACGCTAATTCAAAAAAATTACAAAAAATTGGATACGGATTATCAGACAAGATCTTTTTGTACAAAACCACGGATACTACACATAATATACTCATTAAGTTTGTTTCCACCTCAATTCTATATACTTATTTACATTCGTAACCTAGAATAAAAAAGGGACAATGAAAAACAAACTATTTTCCGATATAACGGACAATAAAGTATAAATAAAACGGAAAATGAGAACCAAATAATTATCATGAATTTTCCTTCCATTCATGCCCCGAGGCCTCTCGCCGGGACAATAGCCACCGCTGGATACAAACAAAGATCTATTAAGTCATTAAAAATTTACTGATAAAACATTTTTATTATTTTCATTACAATACTCTTATATTATAAAACTTTGTTTTGCATAATTTCTTTGTTTTAAAATGTATCTACTCTACGTAAGTCTCTTACTGTAAGACTTACCTTGTCCTTACTTAACAGGCTTATTACATTTATAATTTAAAAGGTTAAATGCCAATGCAGATTTATCGCACTGCAAGAATTATGTGAAAGCATAATTTAGTATTAAAAAAAACAGGTGAAAGGATATAATAAAATATAAATACGGGTCATTCAAAACTCTGTCATTCAAAACTCTCTCAAAAACAAAACTCTGGCGTTGCCAGTTTGTGTTAAAGCTAATTTAAGAAACGTCGATTAACGAGAAACACACTCCTCTCTACAAACTGAACACGGATTTTCAAGCAACACCCTTGGAGTCTTTGGCGTAAAACCTAATATTTTTCTTATTTCAGGAATATAATGCGAAAGCTTGAATGAATGGTTTTATTGATGCTTGTTACCTAGATCTGGGCACGGCTAACCCATTCATCTCTTCTCATCTCTCTCTTACTAGCTTTCGCTCTCTTCTCATATCTCTCTCTTACTAGCTTTCGCCCATAACTCCGTCCGCATGAAATTAAATAAAAAAATGAAAGTAAGTAGCCTATGTGTTCTTCCAGACTATCCTCTACATCTATGCCAAAATTCATCAAGATCCGTTCCGCAGTTTAGGCTACAAACTCTAACAAACATCCCTCCATCCAAACTTTAGCATTTATAAAATTAGTAATTTGATCTTTAATTTTGAAATGAAGGAAGTGTCTGCCAAGTGTTGTGGTGGGGGTTGAGGGGTGAGAGGTAAGGAGCGCACGCGCTTGCATAACAAGGCAATCAGAGCGTCTCGACGGCTGGCTTTACAATGCCGTTAGCGAACCGACAACGATCTCACGATACCCACAATCTCAACAAATACTGTTGTAGGAAAAAATATTATACACAAAGGAAACATTCACATTACGTTAACTGTATATGTTCCAACGCAAATACAAAACAGTCATTAACTAGGTCAAATAATACAGCAGAGCAGGTGACAGATGATGTGAGTAAATTCTATAAATAAACATCAGGTGAATAGTGAAACGCTAAAAACCTTAAGGTATAACTGTACACTCAAAGTGGGTATTAAAACGCTACACAACAAAATGAGACGGATAATACTCTGAGAATCGAGTAACCGTATACTTCCTTAACTCCTTTATATCTCGTGTGGTAATGTAGGGCAAGGGCGAACTGCTAAGGTCAGCTTTGGTCGTTTGGTAATTTCCTGCTGTATACTGTAAACTGCGAAATGTTCCTAACTTTTGTTACACTAATTACTCCTTGAATTGTAGAAACAAAACAGCAATGCAGCTATCAATACGTAAAATCATAAAACTTAGTCACATTTTCAAGGCGATTAAACTGCTAAATAACTAACGGCTTTAAATCAAAGGCAAATGTTAAACATACACGTATTCGTCTGTTATCTTTTAAGTATAATGCAGTTCGATAAGATAGGAGGAAAGTTCAGACATGATGTCGTCAATGCCGGATTTATGCAAAGAAAACCCGTTATATGGCAAATACATTTTTGAAACAAATCTACAAACATTGTACTTTATTTATGTGAATTGTCAACAGGTGACTAGAAATATAATTAATCTATTAATTTAACAAAAAAAAAATCATAAATGAGATCAATTCTCTGTACAGTAAACTAAGGTTTGACTTTTTTATTTTATTTTTAACTAGCTTTCGTCCGCGTGAAATTAACAAAAAAAAACAAAAGCGAGTAGCCTATGTGTTCTTCCAGACTATCCTCTACATCTATCCCAAATTTCATTGAAATCCGTTCAGCAGTTTAGGCAACAAACTCTAACAAACATCCATTTATTCGCATTTATAATATTAATATGATTAATCACGTGTATTGTTGGCTGTAAATTAAGTATTTTTCGTTTTTCAATTCATAAAATCGTTTTATTTAAAAACTGAGTATGTAGTAGTACTAGGTCGTTCGATAGAGATAACTGGGACAAGTGGTTCATTGCAGTATTACAGTCGCAACATTTGTCGTATGGGAAATAACCCTCACATTGAAGTATTTACGGTTCAAACGACATTAGTTCATTTTTATACGGACAGAGTTTTACTGACGTCTGTCTTTATTTGTCGTGTCGTGTCTAGAATATGTCCTTTAGTGTTAAAAGTTAAAAGGACACCCTCGATTTTCAAACCAGTCACAAAAGAACTCGCTAAGTGTAGATTTCACATACTACATCTACACTAGTCTCTAAGCACAGTACTTAGATATTTTGTTCTCCATTATATCCTATTTTCATGATGTTTACCTTTCTTTGTCGTGTGCTGACTGAGGATACTGCAGAACAGTCTGCTGCTCCTCCATTTCCACGACGCATTGTGTCCCCAACTCCAATTCTGTAACACATAATACGATTTGACATAAATTGAAAAAAACATTATCATTTTTATCATCAAAGTGCCGTAAATCACTCATGTTCTCGTTTACGATGCGACATGAAAGATAACACAGATTATTCTATATTTTTAAAGAGGTTCTTTCAGGAAATTTGTTATTTTTATGTATCAAAGAAACTGATTGGATATGTTCAATTCTGTCGAGTAATATTGTAAGAACAACAATCCTACTATTATTATAAATGCGAAACTTTAGATGGAAGGATGGATGTTAGAGTTTGTAGCCTAAACGGCTGAACGGATTTCGATTAAATTTGGTATGGATGTAGTGGATAGTCTGGAAGAACTCATAGGCTACTCACTTTTGTTTATTTTTAATTACACGCGAACGGAGTCGCGGGCGAAAGCTAGTTATAATATAAATAAGGTAACAAATAAGAAAACAAATGCCACACAAGAACTTTGAAACTGCATATCAAGTCTAGTCCCGACCTATACGAATTTATTTTATTTATTTATTTATACAAACAAACATACAATATCACAATTCAAATATAATTTTACAAATACGTTTCTCACATTTTTTTTTTTTACTTCTAATTTTAAATTCGGTATTTTGTTCAATTATATGTATATCCTTGGCTCCTTTACTAGGTTAATCCCCTGTATTAAAGGAGCCAATGACTTCCCTTAATTGAATGACACAAGTCAATTCAAAAAAAAATCATCCAGTCAATAACAAATGGGATAATTTAATACACTCACATAAATAACAATGATGTATACGACATACAACCAGTCGTCACGCTGCATTGAAGGACAACTCATTTAAACAGTTAGTGATGACTCGCGAAAATTGATTACAGAATGACGTAACATATTCAAATTATGTAAATAAAACCAGTATTTAGTTGGTAAGATATCGATCAAAATAAAAGATAAAGAAAAATTATAATTGGAAATCAGACGGCTCTCGTTTAATTTATGACATCATTCAATATCTTTTTACACTAACAAGTACCTATCGAATAGGAAAAGATATCTGCGAAATCAAAAAGATTAAAAAGGTCACGATGTGCAATAGACGACGTAATCGACTATTTGGACTATTCATAGCCACGTTTTTTTTTCTGTAATACATTAAATCCGATAAGAGTGCTGTTTAGCGAACGCTTATCGCGTTATCAGCGTAAACCGTAATAATAAATAGAGGTGTTATTTGATATACATAACTGAAATTATATCGATTTTAGTGACTGCATATCAAAGTCGAGGCACGTTCGATCGGTGTAGAAGTAGAATGTTAATCGTGGTTGATCACTTAGCGCCGGCTATATTCGGTTACAAATATAATTAGAGGCGCGTGATCCAGATCACTTCGATTATTTGAACTTGCTTATGGTAAAAATACGAAACTCTATTCCGATAGAGTAAATGAAAAACCACAGAAGTTATTTGGGAGCGACAATAACTATTCAAAGGATCCTAATTTTATATTTTCTATTGTATTTATCCCAAAATCTTTCCGATATCTCAAGATGTGGATTTACAAAAAAAAACATAACATACGTCTGATTTTATTTTAAATCGTCACAAACATCTTAAAGCAAAATCTTTGAGATAAAGAATAAATTGAATTCATGTTAGATTGTTCATACCTTTACGATGTTTTAATTGTGTAATTACTCTTAGAGCGGCAACTATGCATAAGAACGGCTTAATGAGTGCGGAGCGCCGACAAACGCAACTTTACGTAACTATCTCGGTAATGTAATACATAACCCTATTTATGTCATCAATGCAAAAGTAATTAGCCATTGAATTACCACAATAATAATAATTCCGACCTAAGATCTAGATTTCTAACTTTTGTATTTTTAAAAACATTAAATTTAGTTTGTGTAAAGGAACACCTAAAATTAAAGTGTACTTTAATAAGGCAAAGAATGAAAAAAAATTATCTTTAAAAGATGACGAGGTATTATCTGCCACTCGTCGGTTTCCTTTCCATCTCTTTAAAGTTTATTTATATCGTAATTTTTCAAGGAAAATAAGAGGGATGGTACATATGTTTTATACAATTATTTGAACATTAAAAATCCACGATAACCCCCAGATATCTTGAACCAACAAAACCAATATGTGAAAACATTCAGTGTAAATATGGGTTAGTTGTTAAAAAAGTCGTGCAACAAAAAAGTAATGTTCGCGTGCTCGCAGCCTGTGATGGGACGGAACGAGGCCGCTCGCTCCTCTCAAATCCGGTTCCACTGTCCATTGTAGTATACTATAATACGTCTTCTGAACGTAATTGAGGACTGGTAAAGATTACTCATGCTAAATGCGACAATTTGGATATACGAAAGTGACAGAGAAACTCCAGAAGTGATCTAGTATTTCGAACAAAGATTCACTTCGTACTGACCTAACTTAATGTTTATCGTAAATTACCACTTTCATTTGCAACTAAAAGAATTAGTTATTGATTTTAAACAAGATATATGCAAGTTTAATAAATAAAGAGACAGTATGGAAATATAATCTCATCTGTTATAGCCGTGATTGTTGAAATATTTATGTCGTAAAAATAGTTGACACATATTTCGGAATAGTTGACCAATGTAGGTGCTATTACGTAGTTATTTTTTTTTTGTTATACCTATAATAAAAACATTAATAACAAACATGTGTTGTTCATTTATGGTTTGTGTATCCAAGTTTAATACAAATTTTCGTAAAAAAAAGAAAGTTTGTACTCAGATCTTGTTAGTTGAGCAAAAGACATTTCGCTGTCTGGAAGTTTAAGTAACTGTGAAAACTTTACGCGAACTGAATCGCGAATGTTCTCTCGAAATACGACTGGAATTACTAATTTAGATTCTCCACCTACGTAAAAATGTTGATGGAAATACCATAAATGTGTACTTTACTGTAAAATACTAACAGAGTCTTTTTTTTCCCTTTTTTTGTGAATATCATTAACAAAACAAAATAATTTGCCCTAATAACTTGTATTCGTAATTCTAAACCAAAATACACTAGACTTAAGTTTTAACATATCATAGACAATCTATTAACATTTAAAAAAAAACGATGTTTTTGGTAAAAACTCTGTATCACAAAGAACTCATATGATATGTATTTACAAAACAAAGTCATCATCAACAGCTCACTATACATCCCTAATGAGGGAATTTGAACCTATCCTGAGCCAACACATTGGCCCAGTGTGAATTGGATGACAACACATCTTTTAAATCCATTGTTGATATGCGCAAATTGCAACATAATGTTATCCTTCACCATAATTACGTCAGATGATGTAGACAAGGAAATTCATGTTATTCCACTTACAGAAGAAAAACCTTGTCTCTTGGAAAAAGAAACCCTATCTTTCCTTACAAATAAAAAACGAGATAGCATTGAATTGCGCAAACACCAGGATAGTTATAAAAAACAATACAGCATGTACTGCCGACAGACTTTTTTTGTACAGCTACATTTACACTGAATATTTTTGGTTATGGAATGTGGAGGGTACACTGGTAGAGATAGACCTAGAAAGACATGATCAAGAAGGGAGTGATGACTGAGATGATGGATGATAGAGTTATTCGGAGGACGAAAACCTGATGAGCGACCCTGCAGGAGTATGATAGGGCAGGGAAGATGACGATGATGATTTTTGGATATTCCTCTGCATCATCATCACAATGCTTGCAAAGCATTCAAATGTCTGTTGCTTTTAACCGCTAGATTTTCTACTGTACACATGAAATTCATAATTGAAAAATACATTGGTACATGCAGGGAGCAAAACATCTCCTGGTTATTGATTAAGTTCTGGTCTGGAAGCCAGTAATTGCAAAACCAACAATTGCAATATGTTCTTGTATGAAATATATCAACAACATATTCCCTGTTATCTTTCGTGACTAATTATTGTGTTATAGTACAACATATCAATGAAGAATAAATAATTGAAAAGTTTCATGTGAAAAGTTCTGTTCTTACCATCCTTACAATAAAATTTGAATTTGCAAGTTAAATGGAGAATAGACAGCTGCAAGTGTATTAATAATACTTTAATATTGTAGAGAGACAATCTTTGTTTTTCACTAAACATGTCATTCAGAAACTAAGAAAAAGTAAAGAATTAAACATAACAAATGATATAACTATATTTAAATATTTGCTTTCTATAGTTGTTCATACAGTTGTCTCTACAGAGTAGTTTTTGTTTAATTATTAATAATGACAAAATCATCTTAAGTCTTTTTAATGAAATACATTTTGTAAAGTTTATTTTACATAAATATTATATGTAAATTGGTAAATAAATTGACGACCACGATAAACACAAGTGATTGCGCACCTGTAAGATTGCAGATTTCTTTATTTATTACCAATGCGAAACCAACTTACCTCGCCTATTGAAGGGTCGTACCCGAACAGCAACTTTAATCTTATCCGATGCCATTTTTACACTTAAAATACACAGATATATTCAAAACACAACACTTTACACATTAATGTTTAATAAATTATTGCACATATTCACCCATATTCTAAAACAACAAAATTCATTATTTCACGTTATGTTCACGACGGTTCCCGAGTTGACACTGTTCGCCATGTTGTTTTTTACGTTAGTGTAGAGATGGGCATCCAACTTTGGCAGAAGAAATGAAGTTTCAGTACCGATAATTCCGGTTTTTTATATCGTTTTTATTATCCTTTTTTCTACTTTTATTCCGTTAAGTTCCTGTGAATGTAATATTTTGCTTTAAATGTCAATAATCATATTTGGAACTACAACAAACTTCGTTTACTTTCAGTTGAAAAATTTTAGCATTTATTAAAATTAAATCAGTTTTATGACGTGTATAATAATATATCTTAAGAATTACTTAAACTTTAACATGAATTGAACAGTTACTGGAAAAAAGGTTTTTTAAAAAAGAAACTAAAACTTAGTTGATCATATATATTCCTATTACCATGTAATTTATGAGGACAACACTATGCCGGCCAAGCAAAAAAAAATTAAAAACATTGTTTATTTATTGACAAATGACAAGTCATGACATTTAATTTTAATCACATTGAATTGAAATAAAACTGAATCAGTGCAAGCAAATGCAATTACATTACTTTAGAGCGGTCTCTGTTTATAAAATTTAGAATGTAGCAACTTTATTGTTAAATTTGAAGCTTGTGGTAAAATCCTTTTCACTCTCTTAATACTAATATGTCTTTCCAGAACTAAAGAACGATGGCTGCAAATCCATTATTCGGATGGGACCTAACTTTTAAGACTGTTGAAAAAGATGTTAAACGCAAATCTGATATTCTTATAGCTTTTATTCATTGGAATCTGACTAAAAGAGGTTTTAGAAGTATTGGAATAGGTGATGAGGTAATTTTTATGCAGTTCATATCAAAATATGTTTACTTTTTACAGTTTTACATTTCTGTTTGACTTTATAGAGAACGCTAACTGGTGAAGAAGAGAAAACGGAACTTCTTCCAAGTGGATGGAATGATAAGGACAACTATACTTTAAGATATGTTTTGGATGAAAAACTGTACATTCTTCATGGAATCAACACAGAGGGCAATCTCATCATCAATCTTTTGGTAACTTAACTGTAATTTTCGCCTTGTGTTTTTGTTATTCAAGTAAGTGACATGCTTTCACGGAAGTGTACTAAACTTCTTTCCTACTAATCAAGTTAAATAAGAAGACAATTAACAATCTACAAACAAGATGTATAAGAGTAGACATTTCAGTTAAATTACTATATTTCATTGATATTTTTCTTGTTAAGATAATTCTGTTAATTCCAAAATATTCTTTAGAGATCAGAAGATCTGACAGTCTCTAATTTGGCAGTCAACATTGAAGATTCTATACATGCAATGAATGGGAATATTGATAAATTGATTCCAAACCACAAGGATCTCATGTACAACATAAAAAGAGATCTTATAGACACAATCACTCAGAGACCTACTACAACTGTGCAAACACAAACAACACGAGGTTGGTGTATTTTGACTAATTATACTCTTCAATAAAATTAAGAAACTGACTAATTTTAGCAACAGTTACACAAGATATACTAAGCAAAAATAAATTTCATACTTAACAAATATTTATTATTATGAACAATGTGCTTGCATTTTCTTGAAAAGATTGAGGAAGTTAGAGCCGCAGTTAAGGAACCATAGATACATATGTTCTGGAATCACATTTTGCTAACCACTGCCATAGGTGATTAGTAAACGAGTTAAAATGTTAATATCATAGACTAGAACTTTACTATATCTAGGAAATAGAATTAGGAAAGTGTTTTGTCTATTCCCATTTATCTTTTTAAACTATTAATGTGTAAATGAACTAAAATTGATCCATAAATTAGGTCATTGGTACACATGCCTGAATAAGATTATTGAATTATCTCAATTTGTTCAGGCATAGAGTAATGTTAAGTTGCATTCAAGCTGCGAACTGAGTGACACTTGATAGTTCACTCCTAATTAAGTTGTTTCAATTCTATGTGACTCGAACATTAAGTCTTCAATAAACATTGGTTTAAAGCTGGTTTACAAATGGCTTTTGAAATTTGCAATATCATGTATTTTATTTCAGATAATACAAATGACAGAAGGCTTGAAAGTGATCCATTGAGAGTTCCGCCACGACCCTTGCCATGTGTGAATCCAGACAATCATGACTTATGGTTTGTTATTTACTAATTTAATCCAATCCCATAATTTTTGTCTTAGAATCAATTTGAGTGAATACATTCTGAATTCTGTGTGTGTTGAAGTTTTAAGGAGTTTTTATTTTTATTTCAGGGAATTACCTTCTGCCCAACTTCCTAATGTGGGCCGATCAGATTTAGATCCTTTTGCTCCTGGCACTGGTGGTATGATTTTCAATCCATTTGGACCGCGAAGAGATGTCGAAAATCCAGGATTAGGTATACCAGGAGGGCTTCCTAGGTTAGTAGGTTTCTAAAGAGAAATATAATTTCTACTTTGATTTTTATTTATAAATTTTAAATTTAGGTTAGAACTCAGAAACCATCTTTGGTGCCTGTATTTGGAATAATTGTACCTAAAGTTGTGATTATTTTTTTTATATAGTAGATTAGTCAGTTAAATAAGTTTTAAAGTATTTACTATGAAATTATATTGATAAACGTTACAGAGGGTCGGTACCGCCAGGAGCCCGTTTCGACCCGTTCGGTCCACCACCGGGCGCCGCGCCCCCGCCCGGACGCCGTCCGCCTCCAGACGCAGACCACTTCCCACCTCCCGGCTTTAATGATCATATGTTCATGTAACAATCATTTATAAAAATATATTTACTGTGGTTCTATATGAGAAACAAAACTGTTTTGTTATGTGGCTTAGCATTTTATTTATTCCACCTGTATCCAACAAGCATTGCAACGCTACCAAGAGACATTTAAAAAATTCTAAAGCTACATCGAAATGTTGTATAATTTAGTAGATTAGGAACCATGTGATTGATCTTTTTTTACCAACGCTTTCATAATTTACGAAGATGTAGAATTTTAATTTTGCAAAATTCCGTAAATGAACGCTGCAATTTCTATATATTGTGATTGTTTATTTGAGTTTTTGTAAAGAGTGATAAAATTTCATTTAAAACAAGTAAACGCTACTAAAACTATGCATCACTAACTTTTCCTTTCCTCAAAATAAAATATAAAGGTAATTTTTGTTAGGAACTATTATTTTTTTCAGGGCAAACTTAGTAGAATTGTGTATTTCAAGATTGGCAACATTAAATGGCAGTTCGGCATTTTTTTTGTGCGAGGCACACGTTTTCCGCGTGTGTGGTGAATTTTGTTGGCTGTTCACGGCTGCATCCGTTCAATTTTTATTCAATGTGTATGGCTGTGGAGGTAAGTAAATATATTCCTTTTGTATAAAATGTTTAAAAACCTTTTAAAATCGCTAATTTTAACTAAAGAAGGTCGCACCCTCCCATCAATATCGTACGTCACCATGCAGGCGTTCATAGATTTTCCTACTATTAAAGTGAAACTTTTATATAAGTAGAGTATTTACGTTTATAATAGATTACTGGTTATTTATTTCGTAATACTTTGCGAGTTATAAGAAACATTTAATAATAACCTCACAAGAAATGAGCACACCTACTTTAGACGTGTAAAATAGCACCTAAATTGAGAGCAGATAAGTTATTTCTAGTTTGTCAAAAACTTTTTTAGTGAAACCTTGGAAAATGTACATAACAAATATCGCGGCCACGTTTACATAAAAATATCATAGTAGGCGAAATTCTAGATTAACTGGCTTTGATTTGATCCTAATGTTATATTGAGGTAAACATTTTATTGCTCTTCGGAATACCCTCTATTTATGTGGTCAATTTATTTTTCTTAATTGCTTTTTCTTCATAACCTATAAAAATTGTTGATTTTAGAAACCTAAAATTTTGAAATACTGGAGAAGGTTTTCTTGATTTTGTACACAATGTATAATCCATAGAAGTAACGTAAATAATTGAAACTTGTGTTAAGAAATCTAAGAATGTTTCTACCTGGACCTTTTAAGATCTCTTTTGTTAGTTTACTATGACAAGTTTTTATGACATTCCTTTCTCATTGTCATAGTTAACTTTGGAATTACTCATAAGACAAGTTACCACTGCAGTTTTTATTATTGTTTACACTATTTTATGTAAAACATAAGGATTGACACATTATGTAGAACTAACTTGACCAAAAATTATTTGTTATTATTATGACATTTTTTTTAATGGTGCATAACACTTAAAAACAATAAGCTGTTTTAAATGTAAATAAAGTTGCAATAGTGTTTAAAACTAGGAAATTATAAAACTGTAGTTCACTCAATGACCTTATTTTTGCTCTGTGTAGCTTTACAATCTTTATCTCACTTTACAGAAATATTTTTAAACAACTTTTAGTTGACATTGAAATTAGTGTTATTGTAAATAACCTTAATCTTAAATATTTGTTAAGTAAATTCAAGTAAATTTGAATGTTTTAATGACTATTAAAGTCTTAATGTGGCATGATTCATTACATTAAAATGTGTTTTGGTTGGAAAATCTTAAATAAGTTAAATAAACTTTTTTCAAACAGACCATATATTCATGAATATGAATGTTTATTTCATTGTATTCTAAACCGATTGACCGAATTTGGCCCGTAAGGTGTCAATTGATTTGTTTTCCTTCTCTAAATTTCATAGGCTTTAGGCTATCTCTTCGCAATGTATTGTTACATTATTGCACCACATGACATACTCCTTTCACATGTTTAGTAAATGTATATTTTTATGTGTATGAGTCATATTAAAGTCAACTGACTGATAACTTTAGCTGTTCAGTTTATTATGATGCACATGGTTTTATTATGATTTAATATGAGGTGTTTATGTATGAAATTAGTAGATTGGACTCATAAAATGATTGAAATCTATTATTATTAATGAACAGTTTTTATGAATATGTTATATGTAAATGAATAATTTTTATTTTGGAGTACATTATTCTCTGTGAATTTTAATAGTGACATTAATTACATAGGCTTAATTTCTTGACCGTGTTTGTCTAATAATAATTTATAGGTATTCAGAGCAGTAATTGACGTCATTGATTGCGCAAATGCGACGACTAATCATTCTCTGCGTTCCATGGAAATGCATATCGCGTGGACATGCATGCGATGCATAACACGTCATGATTGCATAACAACTACCTTTTATCACAAGTCGTAAAAATTAGACGTGGCTTTGACTCTGTTGTTTGAAATGCGCGTTCAATATTAATCGATTTAAGCGTAGTAATGTCGGCTGATGAAATTACTTATATTGTAGTACTTATGCAGTAGTTTAAAATTAAATTGAATATAGAATGTAATCAGTATGGGTATTTGTAACTCTGGATTCTCTGGATATAGCTAGGGGCGTCGACCCGGCCTTGGTGAGCGTGTGTTGACCCTGCGCCTGCGCAGACACTGGCCCGTTAACACGAGCACGCACGATCCTACTCGAACATTCACGAAGCGACTGGTATCAACACCGCTTTCAAAATGGTGTGCCTCGTTGACCGATGACACACGTACCTAGTAGGCGTGAGTCGTTACGTCATTTTCGAGAAACGTAACGAAACTAGTGATTTGTTCGGCGTCACATGTTTCAAAACTAGTGATTTTTGT